ATTGGGCATACCGGGCATTACTGAAGCTTCCATTCAAGAAATGGAAGAACACTTGGTAAAATACTATTTTATTATTATTATCATTTCTTTATAAAAAATTTACTAATGTTAAATATTTTTTTTAAAAAAGACTTTAACTGAAGAAGATTTTAAAGCAGCAGCAATAGAAGAGAAAAAACGTCGTCATGATGTTATGGCACATGTTCATACATTTGGTTTAGTTGCACCAAAAGCAGCTGGAGTGATTCATTTGGGAGCAACTAGTTGCTATGTAACAGATAATGGAGATTTAATTATTTTTACGTAATGGATTAGGATTGTTGATAAATAAGTTAGTTGTGGTGATTGATCGTTTGAGTAGATTTGCTGATACCTATAAAGGTTTACCAACTTTGGGTTTTACTCATTTTCAACCAGCTCAATTAACCACTGTTGGTAAAAGAACTACACTTTGGCTTCAGGTTGAACAACGTTTTTTTAAAAAAAAAAATAAGATATATATTATGTATGGATAGTTAATGAAATTTTATTAATATTGATAAGGTTATTTAGGAATTACTTTGGGATTAAGGAATTTTGAACGTGCGAAAAATGATATTGCATTTCGTGGTGTTAAAGGTACTACAGGGACACAGCATCATTTTTAGCATTATTGAAGGTGACCTTGACAAGGCAAGAAGAATGATGGAGAGAGGGAATAGAAAAAGGAAACAATTTCTATCATCTCAATATACAATACATGAATATGAATTGACATTTTATAAAATTAAAAAATTAATTAGGTAGAAGAACTTGATAGACGAGTTACTGAATTATTAGATTTTAAAGAAGCATATCCAGTAACAAGACAAACATATTCACGTAAAGTTGATGTGGATATTTTGAATGCGATTAGCTCATAAAATAGCTACAGATATTAGGCTGTTGGAAAATCTCAAAGAGATAGAAGAACCATTCGAGAAGGATCAAATAGGTAGTTCTGCTATGGCATATAAAAGAAATCCTATGCAATGTGAAAGGGTTTGTAGTCTGGCTAGACATCTGATGACACTCAATAACAATGCCTTGATGACCAATAGTGTACAATGGTTAGAAAGAACTTTAGATGATAGGTTTGTTTTTATTATTGTTATATATAACATTCAAAGAGATTAATTTATAATTAAAATCAAATATATATACAAAAATATGTGTGTTTGTAGTTCCAATTGATGAATTTCATTCCCCAAGGCATTTATTATGACAGACATATATTGGAAGGACTTGTAGTCTATCCTAAAGTTATAGAACATCATATAGCACATGAATTGCCTTTTATGGCAACAGAGAATATTATAATGACAATGGTGAAAAAAAAAGAGGACCATTAGACATGTCATGAAGAGATTAGAGTCTTAAGTCATCAAGCTGCAAAAAAAGTCAAGGATGATGGTGAAGAAAATGATTTAATTGAGAGAATTAAAAAGACTGAATATTTTAAACCAATTTGGGATGAGGTAATATTCATAAATTTTTTTTTGATTGCTCTCTCCCTTTAAGATGGGATAATCTATTTAATATACATATATATTTATTTATACAATCAGCTTGAATCATTGCTGGATTCAAAACATTTATTGGGCGTGCACCACAACAAGTTGATAAAATTTTAAAAGAATATGTACAGCCATCTCTTAAACCTTATTTGGAAGTTTTAACTAATGCCAAACAAGCAATTTTAAATGTTTAAAAAACCATCAAAATAAAAAATTATTAGAAAATTTAAAATTGTGTATATTTTATATATGTACGTGCATGTGTGTACATTTTTTTTTACAAAATAAACAAATATTAAAACAATTGTATTAATTTTATTTCTAATTTTATTATTCATTTTTCACCATGTTGTGTCTATCAACATGCGATTTTGCAACTTTTCCTAATAATTTAACTTGATTGGCAACATCTCTAAGTGCGCTAAGGACTAATCTATTACCTTTAACAAAACCATATAGATGATATTGGAGGTTGGCTTCTTGACAAAATTGCATCACCAATGGTTGACATTTTCTAAGATTGTGTCTTGGTATTCTTGGAAAAAGATGGTGTACAGCTTGGAATTGCAAGCCACCATGAAACCAATCCATCCACCAAGGACAATCAACATCCATAGTTGTGCGTAACATTTTTCTTGAGAATGATTCATTGGCACCAAAATCTTTTGTACACATACCAAAATGTGATAGTGTGATTTGTACATGCAACAACATTGTTACACTATGCGATATTAAGATGTAGATTATTCCTATATAAATATTTGGTAGAAAAGATAA